TCCCTTTCTTTTGTGCAGTTACAAGTGCTCCAAGTTATCAAAGAATGGTAAACTGTTCGAAAACCCCAACCCTAACACTGCACAGGTCGGATCCTTGGAGATGGAGCTGGCGCCCCTCTGGTTCCACAGACGAGGACTGTGGGCCCCAGACGGTGGGCCTCGGAACTGGACCTTGGTCTCTTGAATTCCCTGCCTCGCTCCATCCTGACTTGGGAGGGGCTGCAAGAGGCCTAGATACTCACTTCTAGAAAGATCTCCACCGTGATGTATTTTTGTCAGAGTGAAGGTTATTAGAACCACCAGAGGGGGGCGACGGTGGCCTGGCCCTTACTCACCCACAAACAGCTGGCTGTAGAGCTCCAGGCGCGTGTGGCCCTCGGTGGGCGCCTTGCGCACCTGCTGCGGCAGCCGGTCCACCTGCAGGCTGGCCTGCTGGACGTTCCTCTCGGCGGTGACCCGGTGCCACTGGTCATCGTTGAGGGGCGTGGGCGACCTCACCACGATCTCCACTGGCCCGTTCCCGACGTCGAACGAAAAGGACACTTCTGTGGCAGCTGGAGGAGCAGAGGTACAGAAAGCACATGAGTGTCTTCCCCCGGACAACAAAGAGAAGAAGGAAGACAAAGCAGGGAGGAAATAACCTGGGCAGCCCCTCGCCCCAAGGTCCGGGGCAAGGTCACCCGAATGAGGACCCAATGTCGATCCACGACCTGCCGTGACCAACCCAGGGGACGGAAACGGACTCATGTTGGGGGCCAGGTGGACACTGATTTTCTTTATCTTTAGATGTCTCTCGAGGAGTCACCATCATTGCCTCCAGGTGAGAAAACCGAGGTCTGGAGAAGTTAAGCTGGGTGTCTTAGATTTAATTTTTTTTTTTAATCTTCACCCGGGTATATTTTTTTCCATTGATCTTTAGAGAGAGTGGAAGGGGGAAAGNTTAATCTTCACCCGGGTATATTTTTTTCCATTGATCTTTAGAGAGAGTGGAAGGGGGGAAGAGAGAGAGAGAGAGAGAGACAGACAGACAGACATTGATTGGTTGCCTCCCGCATGCATCTTGCCTGGGGCAGGGGATCAAACCTGCAACCCAGGCCCATGCCCCTTGACTGGGAATTGAACCCGTGACCGGCTGCGGTCATAATTTTTCCAATCTTAGGAACAAGGACCTAGGGTCGTAATTTCTGGAGTTCTGGCCCGTCTAAGAAAGTGTTCATGGAACATGCTGAAAGTGCAAGGTTTCGAGGCAGCTCTCGCAGTGGTTCTAGTTCAAGAAGTTGGGGCAGGACCCCGGAGTCTGTGTGTTGTTCATGCCGGGTCACTGACGCGGGTGGCCCTGGAATCCCACCCGAGAAACCCTGGGATGGACAAGTTTCCTCCTAGCAGGAAGCTCCCAGGAAGCTTTTGCCTCCCTGTCACCAAGAGAAAGATTTTCAAACTGTGTCGTAAGGAGTTTCACCGTGTCCAAAGAGAAGCCTGGAGGCTGCCTTGGCTTTGAAAAGGTAACATCTGAACCCTGGAAATGTTACGTCTGACAGGAGTGTCTTTGTTTGCTCGGGAGCCCTGGGTCGCGTCAGAGTCTGCGACGTGACTGAGGGTCGGGGCTGACCACCCCAGACAGGCCGCCGAGGCGACGGAGGAAGTTCGGAGGGGCTGGAAACTGCGGTCACCCGCTGTCACGGAGCCTGAATGAGGTCTCTGAACACCAGGCCGTGGCAGCCGCCCCACGGGGCAGTTCCACGCGCAGTCACAGTCCATTCTGGGAAGGAAATGCGTCTGTGACCCCGTAGGAGGGGCACACCTGGGCGGTCGCATCTGGTGCTTTCCCGTTTTCTGTCCTCCCCGTGAACCTTCTCCAGCCCGATTCTGACTCGTATTCTTTCCCCGGAATGACTGTAGCCAGGAGTAAGTCCCGTGGTAGGTCCCGTGAGAACCTGCCTTTGGTAGGTTCTGTGAGTCCTGCCTGAAAATGATGAAAACTGGGGCTGGCTTTGGCCCCCCGAACCTGCAATGGGTGCCGGAGTGTGTGCAGTCTTGTGAGGGCCGCGGTCTTCATAAGTCTGCAGTTGGTCTGATTCTATGCAAAACCCAAACCCAAACCAGAACAATCGCTTCGGCTGAGAAGGATGTGACCGAAGCCGGCAACGTTGAGGCTAAAAGGCTTCCCAGGACGGGGCCCAACGCCCAAGGCCCGCTTCACGGCCCAGACCTAGGCCGGGGGACTGAGCCTGGACGCTGACCTGCAGTCGGAGCTGAGCCCAGAGCTGCCGCCCTTCTAACCACACGCTCTGCCTTCACTCTGCGCGGGGAAGAAAAGAATAAAAACTAATTTTTCCTTTAGTTCAGTTTGAGTTTGTGAATCCAGACGTCTTTAGAGCCAAATACGCATATTCACACCTAAAAACTCCGTGTCAAACACGTCTGAGAATGAGCACTGGCAAGGAAAATTCGTTGCAAGTCTTTTTTGGAAATTCTGCAAGGAAATGCCTGGAGCTTTAGAACCCGTGTTACAAACTCATTTTAAAACTTCTGGTGTCTCGGTAACCTCTTGAGTATGAGAAATAGTGCTCCATATGTATGTCGGCCTTTACGCTCTTTATTACGGTTAAAAAAAATACCTTCGCAAACAAAGCCATCGTAGAGAGCAGGACGCCGGAGGGAGCCGCACTGGCCGCAGGAAGCCAGGGAGCTGCTCTTCACCACGCAGGTCCTAATTTTAGCTTTCTCCACGCATCCTGCCCACTTCTGAGAACAGCCTCTTGACTATTAATGGACGTGCATGGCTTAAAAAGGAGAAAAAAAAAGACAAAAACCTTTCCAAAATGATGTGTGGCTTGGAACGGCACCTGCCCCCAGCGGGGGACCCGCAGTCAGGTCTTCCAGGGCCTCCTGCTTGGACCAGCGGGGACTCGCCTGCTGGGCAGCGACTGCCCGGCGGAAAGGAAGAGATGAAAGCCCCGGGGGGTGATGGAGAGGGGACAGCCGCGTTCGTGATGAAAGGAACTGCAGACGCCGCTTTAGGGGAATTGTGAAACTGGGGGGCTGCGGACTCCCCAGAGATGGAGAGGAGGGGAGATGAAGGAGGGAGGGAGCTTTGCTCTGGCCACCGTGAGACTGAGGCACGTGGAGCGAGGGGCATGGAGGGAAGTGTGCTTGGGGGGGGGAGGTGAAGGCCTTGACTTCAGGTGACGTCGGAGGGCGCGCGGCTTGGGGGGGTTCGAGGAGAATGGGCTTGGGCTTGGGGGTCCAAAGGAGGCAGTGACACCAGACGCTGAAACAGCCGCAAGTGGGAAAAGGGCTGATAGGCGTTGACCTGGGCGAAGCTAAAGGACGCTTGTAAGGGGACAGCGCACCAGTGAGTTAATGACACAGGACTTGGAGATGGCTGAGCACCGGCTGGCTCTGCGAACGGGGACACCGGTAACGGGGGAAAGCCAGCGACACGGTCTTAGGGCGGAAGGAGCGAGCCTGCTCTGAGCGCCCAGAGCGACTATCAGACGGACGACAGACAAGGAGACGTCTGCGCCCCGGGTGCCGTGACTGGGCCCCAGCCCAGCCCGAGTCCCATCCCAGGCTCCGCCTCTCTCTCTGTTTGGTAGCAAATTGTTTCCTCTCTAGCACAGCCCTTCAATGCCACCGCGCTGTGACTTCAGACATGACCTTTCTAGTTTAAAAAAAAAGTGCCCAATGAAGATCCCACATTCTACGTGTGATGGGCACAGAATAGAAAGAACCTGGCCGGCGTGGCCCAGCGGTCGAGCATCAGCCCGTGAACCGAGAGATCGGGGTTCGATTCCTGGTCGGGGCACAGGCCCGGGCTGCGGGCTCGATCGCGAGCAGGGGGCATGCGGGAGGCGGCCGACCCNGCACAGGCCCGGGCTGCGGGCTCGATCGCGAGCAGGGGGCATGCGGGAGGTGGCCGACCCGTGACTCTCATCATTATGTTTCTCTCTCCCTCTCCCTTCTCTCCGAAATCAATAAAAACATAGTTAAAAATAAAATAAAGAAAAAGCTTTATTCTGTTTTCCATCACAGCACCAGGGGCACTTCAACTCCAGCGGACCTGCAACATGGGACAGAGCCGAGGAAAGGTGGACCTGCGCCCACGGGGGTTTCACACCCGACGCGGAGAGAAGTGGGGGGTAGGACAACCCCCTCCCTTAACCAGCTCCTTGAGGTGAGGACGCCTCCTGTGCAGGCCCCCCTTCCCTCGGACCCTTTGCAAGGACGCGTAACTAAGCTCGGTCGTGGATGCGTCTTCTCTGGCCACGATTACTTAACTCTGTTCGTTCCCTTCTAGTTGGGAGGAACATTAGAGACGAGCCTGAAACATTCGGGACCCCAGAGCCCCAGGGCCGACGTGTCTCAGGGCCAGTGCGCAGCGACGCTGTAGCAGGGCGACCGGACCCTGACGTCCTACATTCCCACCTCTGAAAACAGACGCAAAATCACTTCACAGCGCCCCCCCTGGTTGTGCGACCGATTTCCCCGGGAACCAAGCATTCCTCCGAGACGCAAACGTTAAATCATAATGACGCCGCCTCACGGAGTGCAGCCCTTCCCGCCGCATTTCTGACGGCAGCGGCCGAGCACACAGCTTTCCCGGTGACAGCGCCCAAACGCGCACGCGGCCTCCCTGGGGGCCGCACAGACGAGGCGCCTGGGAACCTTCTCTTTAGGGCCCGTCTGTACGGGGTTCGAACAGCCACGTTCCCTTCTCACGGTTTGCTTAACTTACGGGACGTGGCTTCCCTCTAGAATGTCTCCTTCGGGAGCAGGGTTGGGCTACTTGCCGGCCTCCGCCGCGGGCGGGTCTGACACACCCTCGAGAGGGTGAGGGGACGGACGCCTGTGGGCACAGGGTCACCCGCCAGGAGCCCCGTCCTGCAGGGCACGCCCGGTGGCCTTCCCACAGGTCTTCGTTGCCATCCCGAGCCTGCCGGCGGCCTGAGGCTGCGGGACGGAGCAAGGCCTGGAGCGCGCAGTGTGCCCTGCGCTGTGACGGCCCGAGACGGGGCGACAGGGAGCCAGCGGTTGGAGTGAAAATCGATTCCCTGACAGTGAGCAACAGACTGACCCGCCTCGGGGGCAGGGGGTGGGCAGGAAGCGATTAACCCGAAACCTAGGAGCGTAAGCGCATGACCCAGGGACGCAGGCGACAGTGTGGTGAAGGCCTGGGGGGGGTGGAGGGGGCAACGGGGAGGAAAGGGGACCTCTGTAATACTTTCAACACGAAACATACATTAGAAAAACAAAATAAACAAACAGAAAGCCCCAGCCAAGCCCAACAACGAGGGCTCATCGGTGAAACAGAACACTCGGCAATCAGGACGGTGTTTCCCGGTCTCTCCTAGCCCACGTTCCCAGCGGCGGG